CATGATTCCAAGTTCTCATCAATAAGAGGACTTCTCAGTTTACTCTTGATAATGCTCATGCTTGAAAAAGATTGTTCGCATACATATATGTAGAACCGAAAAGGGAAGGAACAGCAAACCCGAGCTTTTTCAGCTGATCGTAAGAGTCAGGAATACTATTCCAAGCGTTGAATATGATCATGTCTTCCTTCTCCAGGTCATTCAAAGCAGACCACTTGTGTTGTGGTGCCAATTTGTTCCCGCGCATGCTTGTGGTACCTTTGTATCACACCGGAGTACGCCGAGAACATACGAACAATTTCAGCCTGTAGCTTGTACATGGTTTGTGTTTACGTTTACGAAAACTAATAAACTTTAACTCGATGTTCGTTACGTATTTTTACTACAATATAAAATTTTAATTACCGATCTATCTTTTAACTTAAACAAGAAATTATACATGTTCTCGATTTATAGAAGAATTTTAATTTATCTAAATAAGATGTAATTTTTTTTCTTACCAAGTTTTTTTTTAAATGAAAATATTATTGCGCCTTCCTCGGATATTTGTGCCAGAGCCGCACTTAAGGAGCCAAAGAGCCGCACTTTGCCGACCACTGATTTAGGCCATTAATAAAAGTAAATGGATGAAACAAAATGAGGAAATTAATATGAATCGTGAATTTGAAAATCCAATTTATTAAGCAATATTTCTTGAAGATTATAGAGAATGGCCATCAATACAAATCATCATGATAATTACAAATTATCAAAAATAAATCCCTTGAAGGGATCAAGGAAATATAACTTCCACATTGAGAAGTTTTTGTCAACATTTTTGTTACGATTGCATATCTTTTTGAACCGTTAGGATGACTGGGACAGGAACCCCCCAAAGGGGACTCCTAGTCACCACAAATTTTGAATTTCAAGTCCATATAATTATTCCCAACGGATGTAGAAAGTATGGGTAGGAGATCCATAATTTGGCGATTTATCATAATATATCATAGCCAAATCAAAGCCAACTAGCATATCAATATGGGTTTAAAAGAATACCTTGGCGATCACGAGTCCCCAACAAATTTATGAGAATGATTGCAACCATGCAACCGAAACATTTAGCAGTTGGAAATTTAGACTAAAAAGTTATAAATAGATTTTTGTTTTCGATTAGAGGCGACAGTGAATTAATAAGTCTGCATAANTGTCGTCGGCCTTCTGAGCCCAAGTTTGCGGGTTCGATCCCCGGCCCAGACACCGGATTTTCAGGATGCAGAAAATCCTCAGCTGCCATGTCGTATGATTATGCGGCATGTAAAAGATCCCTGGAGTGCCTTATTGGCTCTTGGCATTTCCGGAATTCCTAGTGCACTTTAGAATCCAAATAGAGTCTCGGTGCTGCCATCTAGTGTGGAAACTGGACGTCCAAATTAACATGACCAACGGTATCTCACTCATTGTGGTGGTCCTGAAAGAGTGGATACCACCTCTGAAGAACGCACTAGGTCTGCTTATCGGCAAGACCGATTGTGCAGCTCATTGGAAATAAAATAAAAAAATCTTATCAGCTTAACAAGTGCTAATAGTTTAGGTAGGATTTTGTTTTTGGAGATTTTCCGTCAACGAAAATGGAGATTCTGTTTAAGTAAATAATACTAGAAACCAAGTAATGATTTTTAACTATATATTATAGCGTGAATAAGAAAATTATCTCACCCTTTGAGTTCTCATGAAATTTAAACACTATACAACAATATTGAACAATTTGTCAAAATTGTTTCCGTCTAATTGGAAATTGTTTTATTCAATAAATATTTATTTTCCTTATTATTTGCGAGCCCAATCAATGCTACTTTTGAGTAACTTTTCACATTTTCTAAAAGTAGTTAGATCACAAATGTCTTTTGTTTTCTCAATTAGTTTTCTGATAAGAACATTTTCCGCCATTTTCTTGATTAACATCAAGGGTGCCAGCGAAGATTAAACAGAATCTAACTGGAAAAAGGCGTCGAAAAGCAATCTTCTGATGTCATAAGCTTGAAAAATGGATTATCAATTTTACACTTTTCCTGATGTTAAGAGCCAGCTAAGGATTACCGAAAAATTACTACATGACGCAAAAAGAAATCATCACACGCCTGAATGCCACTTGACTTAGCACGCCACTTGATTCGAAGTTGTCTTCGCCCGGCAATGATTGAAAGCAGGCTAGGAGAATGAAGGCTTAAAAATCGGGCCTTTTTCCACCTTTTGACGTCACAAGTTACAAAAAAAAAGGTCTTTATCCACTGAAAGGCTTAAAATTTGCAGCGCTGTACCTTTACAACAGCAAAGCTCTTTATCAGTGGTACACGAGGCAGAAGTACGCATGCGCTGAATTTTTGGTACGTACACAGAGAGTTTTTGTTCCATGGGCATTATTTTCATGCACTTCATTTCCTGCATCCATTTTCAGCAGCCGTTGTCATTCGTTACTTTAAGTTGCAACACGGATTTAGACTTAGGACACAAATTTCCAGAAGATAGCTCGCGACTGTTTGCGGTTAATATGGATTATGTGCGAAACATTAAGAGAAAATTTGAAGTTGTCGTATCATCTGATGTGGTTTACATCTATAATTTGATTTACAGCTGATATTAAGGTTATGTTACTAGTATTTCATCATTATTATAAGATCTTATATCTCATAAAACAAAGTTTTTTTGGAACTATTTACGATCTTATAATTGTTGTGATTTAACAGTTATTTATTACTGTTGGGTTAAGTTATGTCCATCTTTTGTCAGTGCAGTATGTTGGTTTTGAAAATGGATCTAAGTATCAATATGCAAAGGTGTCGGAAACATAAATACATAGCATCACTTAAATACATATGTAAAAGGTACACAGATACAAAATAAAAGACATATATTTTTTACATATATGTTAAATATACGCAACATATAAGAGAGATATATGTTGTACCTTTACAGTAAGTGGATCAATAAGTAACACATGAGTATAGAAGGAGAGTTATGCTATTCCTTCAAAATTTTAGAGATTCAGTGTACATTTTGTGTTCAGCAGTATTGTTTTTAATGTGTCTAGTTTAAAGATGTACAGATGGTATTAATCCTCCATGAAAGAATATCAGACAAAATCAGACACAAAACCACATAGTCTGTGAGTGAACATCGCTCAGTTATTTTATTTAATTATTTATATATTTATTTTTTTGAGAATTTGTGACCCCTGATATTTGTGGGGTATTATAATTTGCATGATCCAAAGAGTAATAATGAAGTGTTTAGGATAGCTGTTGAAAGTTCAAGTAATTTTTTTTAATTGAGCCATATTTCTGAAAATGTTTCAGTAAATACAAAACCCTTGCGTTTTTTAGAAGCTGCATTAGTGTGAAAGGCTAGATAAAATTTTTACATGGAAACTATCTACATATGAAGCATGTTTCACTTTTACGCTGTGACCAATGTTTTCAACCGTTATTTATAACTCGTACCAACTTCGAATTCGTTTGAAGTATTTAATAAACTAACTAAAAGTATGGTAATCAACAGATAAATGCCGATTATAGAGGCTAAGGATAGCTCTTCATAAGGAAAACTCTTAGAGACCAACAGCATAATGTTGGAAATGTATATAAAATAATCAATCTTTAAAATTGCTTTAAATTTAAGTATTTTACTACTAAAGAGCTTTTAATTGTTTCTTAACGTTTATCTGATCATCAAATTTCAATAAAAATGTTGATATATAGTATTCATTAAAATTAATCATGTTAAAAATGTTGGAGCTTTCAATATTTTAAACCTTCGAAACAAAAGATGCTTTACTATTGGCCATCCTTGCTTTCAAAGAATACCAAATTAATTAAAAATGTATATTCCCTTATTACAATTTAAATTTGCTTGAATTAATAGATTTTAATAAATTTGATTCTATTAAAAGTTATGGTATTATTCAAATTAATAACAGTTATTATTGATTTGCATTCTATAAACTTTCAAAACCCAATAAGTTTTTCTCTTCATTGCCTATACTTTCAAAGAGCTTCTAATGATAAAACATATATATATTTAGTTACGATGTTTAAATCAAGACGTTTTGTATTGATTTGTATTATTCTATCGTATTGATTAAAATTAATAACGTTAAAAGCATTGGAGCTATGAATATTATTTACCTTCAAAATCAAGCTAGAGTTTTTTCTTATTCGTCTAAGCTTTCAAACAGATTCCATAAGTTTAAAAGTGTATTTTGGTTATAACAATTTAATGAATATGTTTGAATCTATTGTACTTGTTAAAATTAATATTATTGAGAGACTCGAAGTTTTGAATATTATAAACCTTCAAAACCAAATAAATTTTTGTATTTGCCACCCATTCTCAAACAATTAGATTCAAACAATTCAAGCAATTTTAATTCAAACAATACTCAAACAATTAGATTCAATAGATTTAAACAATTTAAAAATGTATGTTTAGTTATTACAATTCAATGGACGTGTTTGAATCTTTTTTGTTTATTAAAATTAATATAACTAACAGAATAGGAGCCTTAAATATTATAAACCTTAGAAACCAAGTAAGCTTTTGTCATTGCGCTTTTAACTTTCAAAGAGCTTTTATCAATATAAATAAAACACGTAAATTTGGTTGAGACACATTGAATGTGTGCATATTTATTACTTCCATTAAAATCAATATTAGTGAAAGAATTGGAACTTTAAGTGCTATAAACCTTCTAAATAAGTGACAATTGTCTCTTTTCCGTCTATGACTTCAAAAAGTTTTTAATAACTAAAACCTACATGATTTGTTCTCAGAAACTTAAAGAAGATGTTTGGATACATAGTATTAATTAAAATTAATTTTATATTAAGTTTACTAAAGCTTTGCATATTAAAAATCTTCAAAATCAACTGAAAGGCAAAGAGATCCCTTGACAAAATCAAGTGACTTCTCTGCTCCATTGGTTTCTGAAAATATGCAGCAGATATTTCAAGAATAAAACTTACATCAACTTTAACTCCTTGTATGGGTAGAAATTGACCAGGAGGCCAGTCATTCGGGACATATCTATAAAACTCAACATCGTCTTTGTACCATTTCACCGAGTACAACTTGTCTTCATCCAATTGGTAACTGCATATCAATTCAACCGATTCCCCTTGTGTTGTGGGACTGGGTACATCCATCATCAGCATTCGAATAGCCGGAAGGACAACACCAACTGAAAAGAGGAATGAAAAGTTATGGAAAGAGGAATTTCCAAAGAGTAACGTCTAAAAGATATTTTCGAATAGAAATATTCTACTTTTCTGGAATATTCAATGAAATGTACTTTACTAAGAAATTTATATCTGAAAAGTATAGAATTGAGTTTAAATCAAGTTTTTAAATTTCATAAAGCACTAAAATATATTTGAGGAAATCATTCGTTTGTTACGTTTATTTAGGTAATTCGAACTATTTAGTTAAATTTGAAAATGGAATTTAAATCGACGTCAATGGGTAAAATGTTAAAGATGACGAATAAAATTAACTTTTAATTCAAAACAACTAACCATTAACTACCTCTATGAACCTGCATTTAAATGAAATGGAGAAATGTTTATGATTATTCAAACCGCTATTATGTAAGTGATTTGAATCAGTACAGTCAGTTAATTCGGCTTTAGTCGATTCGAATTTAAGTCACTATTTATTCTTTTACTAAATAATCAATGTATAGAAATATTCAGAAATTCGATATGATTTGTACTTGATGTCGAACGTATTATTTATATTGCTCACTTTATACCAAAGTTGCAGATACTTTTTATTACTATATTCGATTCACTGATTTCGTTTACACTTAAACAATTATTGTAAGATAAATAATTTCAAAAAGGAAATTGTCCTTGAATATTTAACAATAATTGTTTATAAATAAATGTTAGAAGTCAAATAATAAAATATGCAGAAATTTTGCTTACAGTGCGACGCAAAAATTTAGATAAATAAATTCACAGAGATAAACATTCAATCAATTTAACTGAAACGGAATGTAATGATATACATACTATACAATATTTGTAACTAAGTATTGATAACTTGCTTAAATTATAAGTGATTAATTGGCAATAACATAATTTACACTATCTCAAAACTTTTATAAATATAAAACAAAATGGAAATGAATTGTTTCTTTTCTTAAATATGGAGCCAATATCAGGTGCCTTTAAAATTTTCGAATAGTTTGAAACTCCAAATACGTTCTGGCTAATCGAAAATTTAATATTCTAAAGTTTAAAGCAGAATTACATATTTCTACCATAGTTAATACAAGAGCATTGCTTTCTGAACCCAAGAGCCAACCAGATGCTCAGAAAGAAGTCAAATTTTTTTAATGTCTTAGTGAAATGATGTGGTGCTTGGTGACCACTGGTAAGGATCAGAAACACTCGTTCCCGTTAACCTTGCACTAATTCTTACAATACATGCTACCCTTAAAATTATAGATACGTTTAAGACTCAAAGTACATTCTGGTTAGTCGAAAGTTTTATTGTTTTGAAATTTAAGGCATTATTACGTTTTCTTGACGTAGTTAATCCAAGAGCATTGCTAACAGAATATCTCCCGAAATTCAATTTCAACCTTTGTAGCAACCCAAATTTTGTTTTCACCAGTTGTGCTTTGATTGTACCATTTAAAAAACATTTTTAAATATCTTGAAAGTTTTTATAAGTATGCTATCGCAGTCCCAAATTTAAAGTTAAATAATGCGATATTTCATACTTTTACATTGCACTGTACATGGATTATTGTTACAAAATATTTAGTTTATCGTTAATTAATTAATTGTTATCCTCATGATTTGAATTTACCGAATGCATTGTCCTTTTTTTACGTAATTGTCTTTTCTCATCTGCTTTATTAGTTTATCTCTCATCTGAATCTATATTATTATATTCATTCATGTTGCTTAATCATTCCTGTGAGAAACTCCAAATGCTCACTGTTACTCTCTATGTACAAATAATCCCCTGAGTAGATGCATGACAAAATTCCAATGGTAAAATTTTGCCATATGCAAACCCCACAGGGATATCCTATGGTATTTTTTATAACCGGAAATATGGCAAATTTTCCTAAGGATTTGTATCCACTTAAAATAATACCTTCTATTCAGATAAATCTGATATATTTTAATACCCATTCTTTCCTTCATTGCTTCTAACTGCTTTTTGTCCATTACATATCTTTTATATATTTTATGCTCTTCATATGATAAATGATTTTTGATTAGTAGGTTGAACTTGTAAAGATTACTTAAATAAAAATTAATGGGATAAAGCTTAAGTGTTTTATGAAAATAAGAAATCTTTTACCCATGACTTATTCTTACATAAAAGTAAATAACGAAAATAATTTATTCAGTAATTTGACGTCAACTGTTTTTAACATGGAACATATTATTTAGATAATAAAATTATCTTGAAATCACTTGATATCCATTCTTTATCCTATTAGGATCTACCTGCTATATCTATCATCCGTTTTACCACACTTATATACTTTGGCTTCTCTGTAAAAATAGTATATAATAATTGCTTTCTGACTTTAGCAATGAAAATTGAAATGTATTTATAATAGGATAAAATGTCAAATTAAGATAGCTTAAGAATCATATGCGACTAAGGGATTCTTGCAGTACCTGAAATATTCCTACAGAAAACGACAAAATAGTCGATTTGATAGTTCTATCAAGTGAAAATCCCTTAGAAAACCGTAATCTCAAAATAAGCTGTCAGCTGAGAGTTAATTACAACCTCTCCAAAACCTTCATGTAGAACATAATGATAATCTAAATATAATTAAACAACCTGCTTTGCTTTCTGCCAGAACTTTGCACGGGGAAAGTATATAAAAGCTCGGCGACAGAAAATTGCTTTTCACTTATCTCGGTACCGGTGACAGGAAATGTAATGCTAGATTTAAACAATTCTTAATCTAGAATAGAGTCTTAATGAGATATAAGTCGCATGAATAGAGCAAAATGAGAAAATAATGTGCATTTCTTTAGTTTATATTTCGATTTTTGAAATTATTGCTCCTTTTATGATACATCATTCAGTAGTTCAGAATTTGGAAATAGTTTTAGTGGATGAACTGACACTTCTGTTATAAATTATGGTAAGATAAATGCCATGTATTTAAAGTTAAGATATCACGCTGTTATATCAAAAGATTTGTGAGCTTTCTGAGAAAAACTGAGTAAAGTAACAAAGCATTAGAGCATGGAATATATTCAGTTAAATTTAGTTTTTAGTTTTATATTTTTTACCTCAAGTGTGGTAATAAGAAGGATAATTTTGAAAACCAAAATTTTTGGTGAACCGTTACTATATGAACGAAAACAATCACCAAATGAATGATTTAAATACTGTGAATTTTTGTTTTAATAATGTTTTTTTTCTATAAATGTTATTACCATGCAGTGCAATCAATATGCTAGAATTTTGTTTCCGTGTACTACAAACTAACTAACCACAAAAATATTTTTTTGACTAATTAATATAAGAGTTATTTAAAATGGCACACATTGATGTCATAACAATATCTATAATAGCAGTTAAAATATTTCCGGTACTTGATTTGAGCCCAACAGTTACAAAAGATTCTCTGTGCTTAAAATCGATTTGCATATAAGTTCTTAGTATGAACAGGAAACCTCACCCGACTCTAAATTCAGATTCAGAGTGCGCTTTTCGATTTTTATACTTTTAACGTGGTTTATGACTTCATATTATATTCCAAGTCTTTATAACCCTGATGCATTTTTCACTTCTCAGAGATTGTCATTCGAATGTTTGGTGTATCCTGTTCATATGTTTGTAATCTTTACAAACCATGGTAGTCAAAGTCAATCTAAATTATATTTATTAATCAGAAAACCAAAAAAATTTTTTTGTTGCTACTCTAAAGAGAAAAATTCTTCTATAAAATGCGTAAAAGTTGAATGTGAAAACTATGAATGTGCATTAGGGAGGTTCTGAAAATTATGGAAACAGAAATAAGGTTAAGTTGGTAAATTTTCTGAAACTTGCCATTTAATCTAAAAAAATGTTAAATTAAATTTTATGTCAATGAACTTATGAGATAAATTGCCAGGAAAACAGATAATGCATTTTAGAGACAATTTTTCCTCAAAAGTGCAAACAGCTTTTAAAAAATATGAAGAAAAGGATACTAGTTCCTAAGTTTAGTAAGTACATATGTACCATGTTATTTTTATTCATTTTAAAGGGGGCATTTCACTGTTTATCTATTTATTTTACATGATTGAACATACATTAAATAGGTAGGAACGTCTGATAAATTGTAGTTCAAGGAAGTGATGTTATGTTTCAACACGAATCTAATTAAATTAATTTATGTGGGTTTAACATTTTTTCGCGCGATGAACACGCAGAAAAACAGGGTTTTCAATATTTGCAGAGCTTAAGTAATATAACGACAGTTTCAAAGCTGAAAAAGTATATTTTAAGAGTGATTTAGATTGAAAATGTCCCGATTACTACAAAGTCAATAAAGTCTTTTCTAAGTTGTTTTTTACATAAGCATTGGCAGTTGTCTAGATCTTAATATGATTTTTATATAAAAGAAATGATGAAAGCTTACGAATAATCTGTTTAAAAGCAATATTAAATAGTTTCGTGCAAACCTAAACCCTTTAGGAAATTTGTCTTACCACTATGATGTTATAATATTTGTCTTATAACTATAATGTCTATCTCTATAATGTTAATAGAGAGATAAAATAATTCGTAAAAATACAGTATAGTAATAACATTTCTGGAAAACGAAGCATCATTCTATATGTTTTTTTTCCAGATACCAAAACCAAAAACCAAATAAACACTGAAATATACGGTATTTTAATCATTAATTTGATAATATTTTTCCGTTCGCGTGGTAACTGTTTACCGGAAATGCTGATTTTCAAAATTATAGTTTTTATTTTCACACATTTATTGAAAAATACAAAACGGAAAGGAAAATTTAACCGAATAAATTCTTTCCACGCCATGATCTAATGTATCATTACAAAATAACCAAATGCAACTACGTTTACTAAAATTTAACACACATTATAAAACCATTTGTTATTGACAAATTAAAACAAAACGTTACCAAAACGCTTTGGTAAAAGTTACCCAGCTTTTTGGAGTTTCAGTTGAACCAAA